TTATAAAATACTCTTACACTTACAGAATTGTAGCTACTATCCGAGATACTATCCAGATTCATAGAATTCACCTTCTCAAAACAACAGAGCATGTTTACTACGCCAGACTAAACACTTACAAGGATAAGACCTCAAATCATGTATCTGTTGTTGCACTCAAGTTTTCAGTTATTTCTCTAAAATGAAACCCTTGAACATCCCTGTGGTGATCTAAAAAAAGTAACCTCTAAAGCCACCATGAGGACAGATTCCCCAACTTACCTGTTATTTCCCCAGCATTTTGCTCATCATCCACTCTCGCTGTGCTGCATCAGTATGCAGGGCCTATTCCAGCGTGCTCTGACCACACTGGGACAAGCTGCCTGCAAGCTCCATCTCACCCGTTGCCTCATGAAAGCCCTTTACAAAGCTTACATTTACAAAGGCATACATTCTAAATGTTTACTCAATCTCTGACTACAAAGAGAGCTTTAAGTGCAGAATTTGGTCTATACATTGTTTTCATATATTGATATGACTGCTCCATTCACTGTGAAACAACTTTAACTAATCAAATCGGGAAGATGAATGAACAACCTACATTCTGTGAATCACAAGTCTACACTGGACAAGAAATACCAGATAGAATGAGAGTTCGTTTTCTGTTTTGACAGTATTATCAGAGATAAGCTGCTTGAGCAAAAATTAAACTGTAACAGTAGAAGCTATATTTGTATATTTTCCAGAATTATGTAACATAAATGTCAAGAAACTAAGAATAATGGGTTTCAAAACACCAAAGTTCCATTCCACTGTAATAGTTCCTCATTTTCTGTTATGATTCTGAAACTATGAACCTACAATATTGCAGCTACAGAAAGAAGTTGTAGCTGTTATTATGAAATGATTTAGACTGCAGCCTTATACTGTACATATATATGTTGCAAAAAAACCTGTTCATATTATGTTATCATTCTTTTCTTATATCGTTGTAAACCAGAAACAAGAATATTAAAATTATTATTCCAGTACTTACTTGGGGTGTTAAGGAATAAATTAATGTTCATTTTAGTAATTTTTATCATGCCTAGTCTCAGTTCATGACTATATATTTATAAAAATGTAAAAGCATTCTTGACAAGAATTCTACAAGCACACATATTTCAGACAGCATCGAAATGAAAAGTGAAATGAACTTATTCATCAGGCATTGCTCAGTGTCTGAACATAGAGGTACTGCACAAAACCACAAATGTCAGAACATGCATAGCTGATTCTAAGTGAGCTTAACTTTTAGCTGCTAAAGACAATACCACAGGGCTTCACTGACCACAAGGATCTTACAAATTCAAGTCTACAAATATTTTCGGTGAAGTTTTGTGCAACTATATGCTTGAGAGCAACACCTTCCCCAGCACTCAAAGCCAATGAGACCACACTGATTACCACACAGTGCAGGAGTTGTATTTAGAGATGGCAGTTGAAGCTTCCAAATGGTCTTTTACATGTACAGTATTTCTATAGGAAAAATAAGTATATTAAGTACCTGATAGTAAGATATCTGTTCTTTCAGCTAAAGGAAAAAGCTGATTTAATGGTCTTTGTAAGTCCTACTTCTCAATATTAGTGAATGAAAAATGGTAATTTAATTCTCCCTTAAGCAGCTGTTCTGTTCCATATCCAGCCTAGCCTAGTTTAGCTTTCCAAACCTAAAAAGATCAAACACATTGTGATCCACATGTCAGCATTTCATTTTCTGCATTCCAGTATTTCAGGCCACAGAACAGCCCCTCCCAGAGAATACACACCATACACCTGTTAAGTAGCAAATATATGACATGTACATAGGTATGTCATAATTTGAATTTATCCACCTTTGTAACACACAACACACAGGTTCTTTTTAATAGTAAGTCTAACATAAAAAGTTGAGATCAATGGATCTCATGTCTCATGTGCCATAGATCATTACCTAATAAAGGAACTACTTTGTGTATTCAGATCAACATAAGATTTATCAATCTCTTTCAATGTTACCAAGTGAAAGAAGAGTTCAGCTTGGGCATCATCATAATCCTATGATGCAAAAGCAGCACCACAAGAAACACAAGAAAGTATTTTGAAGCCTATAAGAAAATAAAACAGAGATTTACAGATAGAATATACATGGGAATCAGCAAGAGTAGTGAGAATACAGTCAGTGTAGCCTGACAATTAGCACAGCAGGTTCCCACTTTTCATAGAATCACAGAATGGTTTGGTTTGGAAGGGACTTTAAAGCTCCCCCAGTCCAACCCCCTGCCATGGACAAGGACACTTTCCACCAGACTAGGTTGCTCAAAGCCCCATTCAACCTGGCCTCAAACACCTCCAGGGAGGGGGCAACCACAGCTTCCCTGGGCAACCTGTGCCAGTGTCTCACCATCCTCACAGTAAAAGTAAAGATTTTCTTCCTAATACCTAACCTAAATCCACCTTCTTTTAGTTTAAAACCATTACCCCTCATCCTATGACTACACTCTCCGATTAAGAGTTCCTCCTCATCTTTCCTGTAAGCCCCTTTCAGGTATTGGAAGGCCGCTATAAGGTCTCCTCAGAGCCTTTTCTTCTCCAGGCTGAACAACCCCAACTGTCTCAGCCTGGCCTCATAGGGAAGGTGCTCCAGTCCCTGACCATCTTCATGGCCCTCCTTTGGACTCGTTCCAACAGGACCATGTCCTTTTTATGTTGGGGGCCCCAGAACTGGACACAGTACTCCAGGTTGGGTCTCATGAGAGTGGAGTAGAGAGGTAGAAACACCTCCCATGCTGCTTTTGATGCAATCCAGGATATGGTCGGCTTTCTGGGCTGCAAGCTTACATTGTTGGGTCATGTTGAGCATCTTGTCAACTGATAGTTCACTAAAATGGAACATCAGGACTGTATAGCTAACACTTTACCCTTACAGACAAGAGGTAAAACAGAAACGAGATGCTTTAAATAGCAGGTGTTTGCAAAGAACTGGCAGTGTCAGACACACCAAAGTGACAACTAGTCATTTATATCAAACAGGCAGCAAATGCTGGTCACCTGGCATGTCTTCCAGCTCACGGATTGGCTAGAAGAACCTGCTAAACAGACAGCACAAAGGAAGAGAGCAGCCAATGTGAGACAATAAACTGAGCAAAACTGCTGAAATTGAACAGGGAAGCAAAGTGATTCTAGAAGAATAACAGTTTTTTCCTCAAAGATTAAAAAGTTTTACCACTAAGCATATGGAAAGTCCTGGCAATACTTTCGTAAGTTACATCAACTGTCTCTTAAGAGATTCCATACAGATTTGATATGTATCTGTGTGCTGATTCCTCTTTTATTCTTCATAAACTTAACCTCTTCAAACCACAGGGGAAGATACATTCCAAAAACATATAGTCTACTACAAACAGCTGATTTCAGTAGTTCAATAACTATCCACTTCAGCTGAGTATGCAGCCACAGCATAACCAGGCAGAGACTACTTTCTCTGCTGGTTTTTTTGGTAGGATTTCTAAACACTGCCAGAGTGCCACAAATAAGGAAAACCGAAAATAAAAGCTTTCAGATAGTCTAATTAATCTTACAAAATGTTTTTTAAAAAACCTTTTTAAAGGAAATTGAGTGTTTTAGTTATCCACATTATACTTACGTCTTGCAACTCTGACAAATTAAAACGTAAAATAAAATCAAGTCATTTCCCAATATACCCTAAAAATACATTGTTAATAGGTAACAAAGTGATTTTGTAACACAGTATTTACTCTTATGTTGCTTCAGTAGCAAAGACAGACTATTGCATTTTCATGAAGCAGAACAAAAAGGAAACTCAGCTGTCTCGCTTTCTTGTTAACATTCAAATTATTTATAGTGTGAAATTCTGCTTTTAAGGGTTCCTCCTCTTTTCTTTTTCAACAAAGTTATTGTACCTGTTTCTATATAAATGGCTACGGGTAATAGACATGGAGTTTTCAGAGACCATTTGGTCAGATTCTAATAATCTCTCCTGGGAGCTGACACCAACTTCCAGCAGCAGGTCGAACGCTGCGGATTAGAATAATAAAACACATGCTGCTGGAGCTTCAATTAAAAAAAAAAAAAAAATTAATGCAGGTCTGTCTTTATGAAGCTGAAGAACGATGTTTTGAGATGCCTTGTCTCCTAGACAGAGCTCTCCTGTTGTTTATATAAACAGGTAAATCCAGTCGCTTCTGTTTTTTTCCCAATGTGCCATTGCAAAGATTTTGTTTCAGATTCCATATTTCTTTTTGTCCTTACAGTAATGCAGTGTTACTTAACTGACTAAGATAGAAAGTTGGTATTTTACAAATTTGCATTGAACTAAAATATATCTTTCTTTACACAGTGTAGCATTTCTTCCTGTTTTGAAATAAAAGAAATATATTTCATTTTTTCCACATAAAAGTAGTTTGCCTTTTTCTTTCGCCCAAATTCTTTGTGTAAAGGTAAACTAAGCAAATGTCTTGAAATGTAAAGAAAAACACTGGCTTAAAAAGCAACTGGTATTTCTCCTCTGGATTAGCATTGTGTTAGGGTATCTGTCAGCATAACACAGCTAAATTATATATTTCTCCCTTACAATTCACTATGCTTTATAACAGCATTTCCACTACAAATCCCAGGTGGATTAAGACTTGTCATATTTGACCTCATTGGTTAAAGGCAATCCACTGCATAATGATTTTTACACTATTCTGCAAAATGAACAGTTCCACATGTATAAATGCTAGCAGAAATCAACATCTCCTATTTCTTTCTCCGACCTTCAACAACCTTATCCTCTGCAGAAAAAAACCAACAGTTTTACTAATTCATAAGCACCATGCAGACACAGGCAGTCTAGATTGAAACCTCTTTAGGAGTTGTGAAGAAAAAACATGAGAAAGCTTCCACAAAGAGAGGAAATCTGAGAGCCCAAAAGAGAAAAAAAAAATAAAAGAAAAAAAAAAGGAAGAGGTGTGAAGATTTAAAATATTCCCAATACTCACTGAAAGCAGCCACTGCAAGAGCCAGTGTGACAATAATGGAGACCCAGGAAACCCACAATGCCTTCTTTCTGTAGCTTTGAGCTTCATGAGGTTTTAGCCTTGTACTGCTTTCTAGTAAACCTGACAAGCAATAAGCAAAGAGGGTATGAACAATACATTGCTCCTTTTAAAAACACAGCTGTGTTAGTTCAGACCTAATCACATATTTACATTCTATATTACATACAATATCAATACAGAATCAAATCCCACTCGCATTATTAAGGTTAAGTGAATGAAGCCACCAGAAACATATGAGTAAGCAAGGAGAGCACATACAAGTTGTTTTGATTTCACACAGAGAGACCCACTCATCAGTCACTTAAAAAGAGCACTGCAATTGTAGTAGGATTGTAGGAAAATGTTGTAGGAAATTCACATCACTTACGTTTTCCACATGTATATCTACACAAGAAAGGGCTCAGTCCTGTACTCCCTTAGACCAAAACTCATTTCAGAACTTCAGGATTCTGAACATAATCAACATAGAAGGAAAACTCGTGCTCATCAGTCTCTGTGAAACTACCTACCGATGCACAGGAATAGACTGCACATATTGAGCAGTGAAGTAGAAGCAGATGTACTTTAGAATCAAAGCTATCACAGTTGAAAAAACCTCTTGAAGCACAACATCCTTCATGTGAGGTAAGAATACATCCCTACCTAGAACTAACTGAAGAACCAATTTTGTCCTTACTGCAATCAGCACTGAAGTCTGTTGAACACAAGCAAATGAGATCTCTTGCTCTCTTTTTTCATGCTTTAATTTGTGGAAGCCTTTTGTCCACTCATCTTAAATCACAGAGAAGAATTCAGGTTAAAAATCAAGAAAATAACATCATTCTTTGCTTTTCACTCTCTCAGTCTGAGTCTTAAACAACTTTTAAAATGCATTCAGAATTTAAAATCTTTGCCTTCTGTATATCCCATCCAGACTCTTTTGTGCTTAATACATTCATCTAATTTGAAACATACATTCTTTTTCACCAGCAAGTTCCAGCTCAAATGTGCTTAACTGGAGAGAATGCCTGATGGTTTTGAACTTTCTTAATGAATTACTCCAGCAAACATGGGTGATTCGATGATATTCGTATTTCAAAGGGACTTGCCTGCACTGAACGCATTGAACTGGGGCACTGCTTTAACAGCATAACCTTTCCGTAGCTGGTCTCATATCTTAGACAAAGGGAAGGCTCAGCAGCTGATTAAAACCTAAGAGCTGAAGCTGTTACTATCCTCACTTTCCCCAGTTTTCTCTCTAATGGCTATTGCCACCTTCAAGGCAAGGATACTTGATCTGGTTATCAGCGTACTCCTGAACCCACACCATGGTTAACCAAGTTTATTAACATTATCAGATATTAGTTTCAACAGACTGTAATATACTGGCTGAAAGCTGCAGTGGTTTGGGAATCAATTCAGAAGTGAATGAGAGATCTCTGCCTCGGGGGCAGCAATGTGTCAGCAGAGGGGCAGGCATCCAGGGGTGGTAACAATTCAAGTCACCAGATTTTATTCTGCCACTTGAAGTCTGCCAAAATTACTGGTTCTACTCCTAGCATAATTGGTGGGATTCACGCTGTCTTGTAAAAATTCTTCATGCTTTTTTCACCTCTATTACAATAGAGCAGAGAGACTTTCCTTATGGTAGTTCAGAATGCCACTGTGAGAATTTCATGCTTGTACTGTGTTTTTAGAAAATTTAAAATATTACCTCCCTTTTGTGCTACACGCTTCCCTCTTTATGAATGGAAAAGAATTTGCAAACCTTCATGCAGGAGAATTACTAGGCCCTATATTGACATGATGTCCGTTTCTTACGATATGTATTCTTTGCCTGTTTAATACTTAAAAACTACCGGATACCAACTCTGAAAGGTACTTTACTGATAGTACCACACAGCTATTTCTTACATAGCCTGCCTTGAATTGTGTGAAGAAATATTTTTATTTTTCCCAATGTTTGGCCTAGCTTCTGCCACTGCATATAACCATGCACAGTTTAACTGCTATCTGATATGAGGTAATTTAACAATACATCTTGAAACATAGGAGAGATTGCTACCAATATAACCATAGGGAAAACACATCTATCTTCTCACATTTCGTGTTCAGCCCTCCTACCCCCTCTCCAAACCAAAGACTTTAAGTTATGACCCAAATCTTGTTGGAATGTAACGCAAAGGTTTTCTTAGCCAATTTTGATCCTCAGTATTTCAAATCTCAAATAAACACAGATCAGAACGACAGATATCCTCACCTGTTTCTTTCTTTAAAGACATCCTATGGCTATAGCTCACTATTACCTGGGAAGTCCAACATACACAGTTGATAGTTACAAATCAAATGACATCCTAATTAAATTGAGAAATGTACAATGAGCCCCACAGCTACTGCAGCACTGCTGATTACTATTCACATGTCAAGCACCTGTCCAGTATGACAGAGACTGCAATCCTTACAAACCACTTCTGCCATGTGTGTGCATGTGTGTGTGTGTGTCTTTCTCTCTCTCTCAAAATGGCTGGCATATTCTAGCTGTCGGAGATGTGATCCCTTTCTTCCTAAAGTAATTCAATAAATTTTCAGTATTTACAATTTTCATCCCTGAGAATGATCACATTGTTCTTACAAGTGTCCTAAGGGACGACACACAAAAATACAAACTCATTCACGTGACTACCAAGCCTATAGCATTAAAATAATTTAGAAGCAACAACAGCTCATTATCTTACACCCAACAACAAAATTCACAAGGTAAACCGCTGTATTTTTTCCACTGACCATGAGAAAACAAGTTTTAAGCAACCACAGAAGGCTGAAAGATAATCTGTCAGTATGACCTGCATTGCTACAAAAATAAAAAGCTAGTATCTGATAAAATTCCTCCGCCCTGAAATTAACTTACTGAATCATTTTATTGCTATTAATTTAGTTAACACATAGATATCCTTAAGGTAAAGAAAACATGATGAGCTGATTAAATCCACTGGATTTTTACTTTATCTTTCAGTAACTTCATATATTAACAGATTTTCTTCCCATAAAAAAAATCAGGAGAAAAAACCTGCCTAACAGTTGCAGAACACAAGCTTGGCATATTTGTGAAGTGATTCTAGGATATTCTTTACCATATGCTGACTTACCAGAAGTACTTTTCTACTTGGCTAAGGGATCATTTTAAAATGTCAAGTTAAAATTTGTGGAAGAAATAAGGCTAATAGAAAAATTGTTCACCTAAGATGTTAATTTAAGGACCTCATCCACAAAATTATCACTGATTTCGCATCTGTTCTTTAAGAGCAAGTATCTTGTTCCAAAATTTAGGGTTAGCTTTTATTTTTAGCAAACATGGAAGTATCATCTCTATAACCGGATCTGCTATGATTCATTGGAAAGGATAAGAAAAAGTACAGTCTAAAAGGACAGACTGTAACAATTTCAACAGGGACAACCTGCAAAAAGCATATCAGATTTTCCTCTACAATGGCCAGGAATTATTCTGGTAGATAGAATCAGTGGCTATAAGACAGGCTGAAAGAAAGCTACTGCAAGGGCCATAAAAAGAGTGTGACGGCAGAGAAGGAAATAAAATCAGCAGCTTAAGTCTCATCTCCCTCCTAGAAAGAGAGTGGGTTTGGTACAACAGACACTCCCTCTTTTTGGAATTACCCTTAATACCAAAAGGGCCAGCTTTCATCTTCAGCCCTGTCATAGTGGGCACAAACTAAAAAATTCTGTAATCAAACTTCCACATTTGAACCTTAATAAAAATTTCTGATTCTTGGTTTTAAAACAGACCTGAAGCCTCAAACTGCTCTCAGTCACAATGTCTGTCCTCTGCCATTGGTAGTAACAGTGAGGGTACTCCTGGAAAAAGGGCTGTCCCCAGCCCCAAAACGACTGAAACCTGTCAGGGAAGATGGTGACTGTTCACCCCCCTTACTTCTCTACTTCATGTCTAGCATTTGTGAGCAGGCACAGACATTTGGAAAGCTGGAAGAAGAATGGGAGACGCAGGGGTTACGTGTAGGATGGTATGAAGACTAAGAATACAAAAGAGACTATGGAATGCTGAAAGCAAAGAGAGAAAGGAGAAAATGCAACAAAGAGGCTAAGGAAAGTCTATACTTGAAATAAAAAATGGAGACAAATTGTGTGAAAGAGGAGCCTGGCGGCATTGTGGACAACAGGGCAATGGGGAGGGTTAAAATGGCAGCTGCTTTTATGGGGAGCAGGTAAGCAAGTGCCTCACACACCGTGAACAGATGTCCGAAATAGGTCTGCTTCACATTAAAGAGTAACATGGTTTGGAAGCAGGCAGCTTTTCACCCTGGTCAGGTATCCAGGCAAATAAGTGGAAGTGCATCATACGGTAGGGGAAGGAAGACAAGGAGTAAGGTAAGCGCCCTGACTGGGCTGTAGCGGGCCATCACAGAAACGCCCCGTTGTGCCCTGCTCGAAAGG